AATGAGGATCCGGCTACATATTTGCACTACAATGGATCCAGAACAACTCCTGATTTACTCTTGGCTTCAAGCGACATCAGTGAGCATACACACCGCAAAATAATTGACGATCCTGGTTCTGGTCACAAACCAGTCATTGCTAGTGTCAACATCGGCAGCAAAAGCATGACAACGAAAGTGCCAACTAAGCTATCATGGAACTTCAAGAAGGCTGACTGGCCTAGATTCACAAACCTTTTAGAGAATGAACTTCACACAGGTTCCCTAAACTTCAACCAACATCCTGACAAACTTTGCGATGATATCAAGAATATTATGATCAGATGTGCAAAGAAAACTATTCCCCATGGTAAGACTAAACACTATCGAGTGTTTTGGTCTAAACACCTTGAGGAACTGAAAAGAAAGCGGGATACCCTTTGCAACACTGCCGATCAGACTGGAAGAACGGAAGACGTACAAGCCTGGAGACGACAATCAGCTGTCCTAAGGCAAGCCATCTTACAAGCAAAACGGACTTCCTTCGACAAGTTCATCTCAAATATCAACTATCAAAGTGATAGCCGATGCACTTTCAAATTCCTGGGCAACCTGGAAAACAACAGGGATAGACCCAAGAAAGAACCGATACGTTTAAAAAACTAACTGCTTACCACCGACTCCGAAATAGCTAACTGCTTTGCGAGGAAAATAGCTAACTACTTTGCGAGGTTCTATTCCCACAAGCAGTAGCTAACTGCTTTGCGAGGTTCTATTCCCACAAGCAAAATTAACTGCTTTGCGAAGTTCTATTCCCACAAGCAAAAGAAATCCTTTTGTCAGAACACAAGCAAAAGAAAAATCCTTTTGTCAGAAAATCTTCAAGAGTTTGAAAGATACAAGTAAGACAGTTGGGTGAAATTAAGGAAGGCTCAGCAACACCTGATAATGTACTTACTGAGCCATTCAGACCTTGCGAACTTAATGCTGTGACAAGACAGCTAAAGTGCAAAAAGTCTTCTGGCAAAGACGGTATTCATCCGGAATTTCTAATTAGAATAGGACCCGAATCCATGCTGACGCTTTCAACAAAATCTAGAAGACCAGTCTCGTACCTAACCAATGGAAAGTTGCCATAGTAATACCAGTACTAAAAAAGGGCAAAGACCCTAGCAACTTTGACAACTATAGGCCTATCTCCCTCACAAGCGTGCTGGCTAAACTTGTGGAAAGAATGGTTAACAGGAGGCTGACCTGGTTTCTTGAGACCAACGATATTCTTAGGAGTGAACAAACAGGTTTTAGGCGCAAAGATCAACGAACCAACAAGTAGCCACCTTCTCCCAACACATCAAAGATGCCCTTGATGCAAGAGATACCCTAACGGCTGTTTTCGTCGATTTCAAATCAGCATGTGACTTAGTATGGAAAGAGAAGCTAATTCTGAAATTGGCAAAGATTGGTATTAAGCATAACATGCTAAACTGGATAAAAGCATTCATTGGACAAAGATCGTGTAAAGTCAAATACGGAAATGCTCGATCAAAATCCAATCTTTTACAAACGGGTCTTCCACAGAGAGCTGTCACAAGCTGCACTCTTTTCAATGTCTTCATCAATGACATAGCCGAATTGGTACAGACAGTCACGGGCATCAAGTGCTTACTTTACGCAGATGATCTGGTACTATGGTATTCCGCCCCTAAGAAAAACGCTCAGGTGAGGACAGAAAGTGCCCTAAATTGTGCACTTAAACTACTAGCAAACTGGTGCGACAACAATGTAATGTTAATCAACACCGCGAAAACTGCATTCCAAACTTTTTCTTTGGCCCGTCACAGCTTAAACCCACTTTTAAGGTACAAGAATATGACCCTAGAAAAAACCAATGAGTTCACTTATCTCGGAATGACGTTTGACCCAAAGCTAACGTGGAAAAGTCACATTGCTAAAATAGCAGAACGAGTCTCCAATAGACTGAATGTACTGAAGCGTCTTGCTGGTAGCGTATGGGGCTGTGCACGCTCAACTCTAAACACCACTTACAAGATTTTTATTCAGCCAATAATGTTGTATTGCTGTGAGCCACTCATTACAGCCACAGAGGTGACTCTCAAACCCCTCGAGAAGGCACACAACCAAACATTACGACTAATTACTGGAGGGATAAAATCAACACCCATTGATGCAATGTACCTAGTTACAGGAAGCACCACAACATGTTCCCTTATTAAAGAAAAGACCTTGATCCTGTATGAGAAGCTACTGCGCATTCCCATGGATAAGTTCTTCAGCACCTATGAGTATAGACCAAGACATCTGAAAACACAATCTGGTCTAATAAAATAAGCCATAGAACTGAAGAAAGAATTACAAATCGATGACAAACCAAAAAGCCTCTCTCTACTCATGAACCCATTAGCAGACACTGATGTAGTGCGTTGCACCCAACTGCTTGACTTCTTCAAGAAATCAAACACCCCTCCAGAACAAATGCGCTCACTGGCCCTTGAGACAATCAATGTCAACTATCCTGCAGATCAATGGCTCCAAGTCTTCACTGATGGGTCATACATAGAAAACCAAGCAAACATTGGTGCAGGTGTCTATTCTGAACTCTCCTCTCTCTACGCAGCAGCGGGACACAAAAGATCCGCTTTTGAACAAGAAATAGAGGCCATTAGGATAGCACTAAGCCAGTTACGTTGCCGGGATACAAAATTTACCAAATCAGTGATACTTTTGGACTCACAGTCAGCAATAAACTCAATAGGAGGCAGTGAGCCACCCAAAACAGCTGAAATAAACGAATGTAGAGAGAGAGAAAAACAAAACAGTGGTCCTACAATGAATTTCTGGTCACTGTGCATTAAAGGCAATGAGATTGCCGACACACTTGCTAAGAAGGGGACAACGATTTTGCAAGTTGACACACTTGCTAAGAAGGGGACAACGAGTGTGCAATCCATGGACCGCCCGGTGTCTTTCCACACAATGAAGGCCTTAATCAGGAGTCCGATGTCTTTCAACACAATGAAGGTCTTAATCAGAAGAGAATTCCAGAACTCAAGGTGCAACGAATTTAAAGCTCGAACAAAGGAGAAAACATACCTCAAGGTGCAACGAAATTAAAGCTCGAACACAGGAGATTATAGGAGAGACCGACCTCAATGTGCAACGAAATTAAAGCTCGAACAAAGGAGAAACAGTGGCACTCTCCGACATAGCCGACTGGAAGAGAATTCAAGACCTCAAGGTGCAACGAACTCAAAGCTCGAACAAGGGAGAAATAGTGGACAGTGGCACTCTCCGAAATAGCCGACTGGCTAAGAATCGAAAAAACAGTGGAACTTTGGCCAAGAATCGAAGCCGTTGCTGAGTTTAGACTACGTACGGACGGATTGCCTGGCAAAACACCTTCAAAGATTGGGAGTATACACTGGCCTCACAAATTGGGATTATACACTCAACCCACATGCCCTCCATGTAACGTGGGAGTATACACTCAACCCACATGCCCCCTATGTAACCTAAGGAGGAAATGGAGAAGACCCACCTGATTCGGTGTCTAGCGGAGGAAATGGTGATGACCCACCTGATTCGGTGTCCAGCTCTAAAGACAACGCAGACCCACCTGATTCGGTGTCCAGCTCTAAAGACAAGGACATGGAGTCTGATTGTGAAACCTACAGGAGGAAATGGAGAAGACCCATCTGATTCTTAATCTAAGAGAGTATACACTCAACCCACATGCCCTCTGTGTAACCTACTTATACACTCAACCCACATGCCTCTATGTGACCTACAGGAGGAAACGGAGAAGACCCACCCCTATGTAACCTACTGACAGACCCACCTGATTCGGTGTCCAGCTCTAAAGACAAGGACAGACCCACCTCATTCGGTGTCCAGGCCTAAAGACAACGACGGAAACCCAAAGATACTGGGAAGCAAGAAGACAGCTAATGAACTGCTATTAATGAACTGCTTTATATGTACCCCCACCCTTGGGGAAACTGAAGTCAAAGTTTAAGGGCTAATGATAAATCTCACAAAGCCTGCCATTTGAAATAAATAAATATTTATATCATTCATTTCTTATTCTACCCCAGTTGGCGGAGTCTGGTTAAGTCTATCGAATATACCTAGATGATGTTGGTTGGTTACATTGATAGTGTTTCTGTACTTATTCTTGTGTGTAACGCTTGATAAAAGAGCCGCAAGTCATTGATGAGACATCCAGCAGGATAAACATTCAACCATATAGGAAAGACGGGCAGAAGTTTACGCTAAGATAAACACTCGGCTGGGGTAATTAGATTGATAAATGACATCAAATTAGGGTTTAGAGAACCCACAATGGTTGGGAAAACTGGTTTTTTTGAGGTATGAACACGCTGGTTAATTCGAATCTTTCTAGAATAGATCCCGTGTTCATTTTATGCCTTTAGCAAATCGGGGTCCATTAATTCTTTTTCCCAATAGGTTCCTAAGGAAATATATCTGATCTGAAATAGAATTAAAATGGTTTAAAATGAATGGCGCTTCTTTAGGAACCGAGTGTTTAAATTGTTCATGGGCGTAAATAGTAAATTATAAGAAGAGGAATTTCATAATGTTAACTAACCATGCATCGTATCTCAAACTTTCGTTGAGAGTGGTAGAGCATTACGACAAATAAATCATTTTTTAAACTGTAAATAGGGTGAAAACCGAAGCCACAGAAATAAAAGAAGATTAAATAATATCAACTGACAGACACAAATTTTGAACGAAGGACTGTACCCGACAAGTGTACTTTTATCTAATACAGTCGAAGAACCTTCTTCCCTTAATGAAAAAAATCTTTGCAGTTTATTGTGTCTAACTGGTAACTAGAAATTCCACATGGGAGAATGAGTAATCACCGTCCTGTAGAGTCAACAAAGAATGGTTAAACAGAAGGAGATATCTACGACACATAAGACGTGGGAGGAAAAAGCCAAAAGGAACCTCGTGGTATTTTGAACTAAGTTGATTTAAAGGCGGATTTTCGAAATCTATTTCAAATGGCGGGTGTTATGATAGGTGTCATTAGCCTTTTAGTTGACTTCGGGCTTCACAGAGGGGAGGAAGAACATCAAAGTGACAAAAGGTTGAGAGGGAAGACAGAATAATGATTTACAGACGTAAAAGGGACAGACAGACACAAAGGCAGAAAAAGGTGAGGTGAGTACTGTGGAAGAAGTCGAATATGAAATGCAGTGGGGTCTTGGTAGTTTGGAGTCAGAAATCAACTGCCGATTAATAGACCTTTTTGCCGTATGAGTATACATTGCCCAGGGTGCACCACGTGGAAGTAAGTCTATCGCACACCCCGGTTATGCGAAATCCGTGTTTAATGTACCTCAAGTCTTACTCGTCTTGATAAGATGTACATATCCAACCCAATGACCTACCCACGAGTTTATCCGCGTGTCCTGTAACCCAATAGACGTGATCGTGTCAGCAACTCTCCACTTCGTCATCCCCATATCCCATGATTTAAACTAAGTCATTGTGAAAATGGCACCATCTTCCTTCTCTCAGTTTAACTGGAACTCAGTAATACTCTACTGCACCAAGAAGTCAAGATGTAATCTCGCTTATTCAATTGCAGAGATGCGCACATTTGTCTGAAATACGTCGTTGTGCATTATTTGCTAATGGAGGTAGAGTAAGAGGGGATAATATTTGTTTTGTTCTATGCCTCGTCGAATGATCGCCACTTTTTATCATCGATTTATGAGTCGCCATGACCGATGTTGGTGGGCCTCTGGGATCTCACTATATCGGATTCATGGGGTATGTGATAGACTTACCTCCACGTGGTGCACCCTGGACAACGTATACTCATAAGGCAAAAACGTCTACCAACCGGCAGTTGACTTCTCATTTCTAACTGCCATGACCCGACTATATGCCATATTCGACCGCTTCCACAATATTCATCTTAGCTTTTCTCCGACTTTGTGTCTGTCTGTCTCCTTTACATCCTTGAATCACGTTTCTCTCCTCCTCCTCTCTGTGAAGCCCGAAATCAGCTAAAGGGCTAATGATAGCTATCAAAACACCTGCCATTTAAGATAAATAAATATCTGAGTCATGAAAATAAGAAGAAGAGAGTATGGATGATTGAGAATGACCAATGAGACCGACAGATAATGATTAAAATAGGATTGACATAGTCGTTTTTACTTTAGGCATTTTTGAATTCCACAGAAGATGTTTTGTGCTTATTTTTTTACTATCATAAATATCATGACCTTCATAGTAAATTTTCATTTTATTTATATCCCAGTAAATCTTTCATTGAACATTATTTTTTGCAACTTCATTAATTAAGTATATTTTAATGCTTCCACTGGACTAATTAATTTTTAAGGGTTTTAATTGTTTGTGCTTGAAGTCATTGACTAATGATCAGAATAGCGATCGAAGCCATTAAGTGTCATCATGATTAAAAAAGAAACTCTCTTTCACAATTAGTGAGCTCGGTTAATCGCACACTAAATTAAGTCTAATTTATTTTCGCCATTATTTCACTATTAGGGAGTAAAGAATTCTGAATCAGGCCAAATGCATGGCATAAATCAATCTGTTACTCTTCTACCTATCTCAGCTTCTCTAGGCTAAATCTTTATTTGTATGAAACTCAAATTAGACAGTTTTCATTCTCAATGATGTGAAGAAAAATAGATTGAGGCATCGAAACTCACCCTTTCTGATTGAACAGTACAGGTTAATAAGTACCAAAAGTCTACAACTCATATGACAAATCGTAAAATTTGAATTTTTGGGACGTGAATTGCCAACGTCGTAAATACTCTACCTTTTTTTAAATAAAAGAAGAGCTACGTTTGGCTCCTCTCAAATTTGACTAACAATCTAGTTTTGTTTGTAGGTCAGCTGTGAAGGTCATGGAGTTGATTACTACATGGAATAGCAATTTTACACAACCGACACTTTAAAACGACTCTCTACACAATTTTTTCCAATTTGCTTCAAGTTCTAAAGTATCGATCTCTAATTAAGTAAGTTCAAAAAATTTCAAGGCATGACGCTTATCACACCCTAATTGCTAACTAGAAGTTAATTGCTGCAAATTAAACATGAAAAAATCAGTCGAAATAACTCATTGAAAACAACGAACGATAAGTTCAATAAGTGATAAGAGGAAATAAATGAAATATTGAGAGCAATCATGATATTGAAGACTCAAAATGATCTTAAATGGTGTGCGATAGACTTACCTCCACATGGTGCACTCTGGGCAACGGCAAAGAAAAGTCTATTAAACGGTAGTTGACTTCTGACTTCAAAATACCATGGACCGACTGTATGTCATATTCGACTCCTTCCACAGTACTCAAATCACCTTTTTCTCTACCTTTGTCTGTCTCCTTTACATCTGTGAATCATTATTCTGTTCCCCATCTCGACTTTTTGTCACTTTGATGTTCCTACCCCTCTCTTTGAAGCCTGAAGTCAGCTGAAGGGCTAATGGTAACTTTCAAAACGCCTGTCACTTGAAAAAAAGTATTAAGCTGTTAACAAAGCCTTAACCTTGCAGTTCCCGAAATCGCTTAGATTACTAGATCTTAGTATGCTGCGTGAACTTATGGCGAGCCTTACTGGAAAAAAATTTTTATGAAAAATAGAAATTTGCATCATAGCACGCGTTCGATTTCCTAAATTCATTACCCGTCACTCCATGCCCAGTATTCGTAAATGTGGCCTTTCGTAGATTATGGCAATAAACGATGTATTAGGCCATGGCAACCGACTTCACCAGTCTAGAAGTGTTGTTTAAATGGTATGACGGAAAATTAGCAACTTTGACCCCCCCCCTCCCCACTAGAGGTCATTTCAGGTCAATAGGGCAGGAGGCACATTATGCGATTAAATTCAAATGTATAAGCAGCCTAAGTAATTGAAATTGATGCAAAATCTCCTAAAATGTAATTTTCAAATGCTAATAAATAACTAAATTAATAATTTGTTAATGTTAAATTCCTCGATGTTAAACTTTCCTATTCTATAAAATTAAAACTTATTTTTTATATCAAATGTCAGGCGTTTTGGTAGTTATCATTAGCCCTTTAGTTGACTTCAGGCTATAGTTATCATTAGCCCTTTAGTTGACTTCAGGCTTCACAGAAGCGAAGGAACATCAAAGTGAAAAGTCGAAGGGGGGGGACAGAAGAGTGCTTCAAAGATGAAAAAGAGACAAACACAAAGGTAGAAAAAAGGTGAGGTGATTACTGTGAAGTAGCCGAATATGACATAGAGTGGGGTGATGGTAGTTTGGAGTCACAAGTCAACTGCTGGTTAATGGACTTTTTTGCTGTATGAATATACGTTGCCCAGGGTGTAACACGTGGAGGTAAGTCTATCTCACACCCCATAAAATTGAAACTAGAAATTATGAAGTGCCTATTCTGAGGTCATGTCAGTGCAATAACTTCCATGGTGTAAAAGCCATTGAACAAAAAGATATTTCTTTTCGAAGCGTAGGATAAATTATTTGTGATCGATTGGATTCTTGCCTACCATTTCTTCTCTTTCTACGCCGTATAAAATAAACATGTGAGTCATAGTGCCACCTTTTGCCATTTAATTAAATGGCTGGCATTAATGACTCCAGAAGTCGGGGTGATGAAATCTAAGAACCTGTTCGTTCCAAATACATGGCTGGATTATGAGCTTAAGAACGATCGGAGGATTAAATGCGGCTTGAATTTAAACGATTTGATACTCCCGGTTCATTGATTTAATTCAAATTTACTTCCTGACCTCTACGTGTTTAGTGTTCGATTATGGCTTCATTAAGGTTAAATCTGCTAGTCTTTGAGGCGATTAGTAACAAAATAAACAGCTCTCTTAAGAAATTCTTTTAATTTGCTAAAGTTTACTTTACAACGAGGTGTAAATTCGATTTGCCCGCATTAAAAGACAATAAGTAAAACAAAAATTTTTGGATTGTCTTTTCAAAAGATATCCATTTATCATACAAAATGTGCTTGCTATGGGAAAGTGCGTGGGTGGAGGATTTTAGACAAATACACCACGGTGACAGTTTTTGTGGGAATTCGCCTTTCAACGACTGATAAGACTTTTTGACAGTCCAATGCTTCGTTCAGTTGAGTAAAAATGCAGATTTTCCGTTCAACTATTTCTTCCAATTACAATTGCAGATGAGGGAACCAAAATGACTTCGTGAACTGTCAACCACAATAAAACTACGCATGGCCCATTAAGTTCATCGTAATCTCACTTCAGCGTATTTAGTTTACCTAAAAATCAGTTTTGTTGTTATTGTTTCAGCTAAGCATACTAAAGTAAAAAAGGAAACAGATTAATTGGGCTTTCTTTTAACCCCTTATATTAGTAAAGCTTTATTATTGAGTACGGAGTGTGCATTCTGGGCAAGGTATATTCATACGGCAAAAGAGTCCATTAACGGAAGTTGACTTCTGACTTCAAACTATCATCACCCCACTGTATGTTATATTCGACTACTTCCACATTACTCACCTAACCATTTTTCTACCTTTGTGTCTGTCTCTTTTGCATCTTTGAAATACTCTTCTGTTCCCCACCCCCACCCCCCCAACTCGACTTTTTTCACTTTGATGTTCCTTCTCCTCT